GTGGGGCGTGCACCAGTGTGGGCGGTCTTGCTCAGGAACAGAGCTTCCGTTCCCATATTCAATGGTGGTATTGGGGAAAAACAAAAATATGCTGCTATCACCTTCGAACTTACTCCACGTCCCCTTTTTTCCCTATAAAATTATCTGATACAAACAGAATGCCATTTGTGACCTTCAGAAGACTGATTCAGATATTCGATGACTGAAGGGTCGAATCCTTCCTCGAGTCCGGGCTGCCAAAATTATTTTTATGGCTTCCTTGGTGATGTCATGGTTTTCTCGAATTTTCTGCTGTGTTCACTTCTGTTCCTGCCCCAGGAATTTTGAATTGCCTAAAGTTAGGACGTAGGGACCGCTACTCTTCAATTCTCTCATTAACTATACCTATCAGAATCTGCAAGTGGCATGATGGCCGCACAGTGGCTCGTAAGTTATGTCCGCCTGATCAGAGGTGGTTATCACGGAAGCACGGAAGACAAGTCATTTTACTACCCATAAAATTTTATGGACAGCATGATAAATGGTAATTTTCAGAGTGTTGTCGCGTGTTGAGCACAAACTTTTCTCACATCATCGAATTCTCTGATAAACGAATTTCCCAGAGGGTACCAGAAATGAGAATAAAATTCGTTTAAATGCTCCGGTAGAAACATCTGTGACCATGCATATTACAGGCCTAGGTGCTATAACGAGCAGTTGAGCCCATTCAGGAATGTGCCATGCATCCGACATCGATTCAAAATCGCAACAGAATTCAAGTAGATGTTTAGTGTAGATTAGTATGTTCAGTAACCTAGAGAGGTGGAGTTTTTAATTATGCAAATATTTTGAAATAAAACTAAATAAATCGACCGCGAAAAGGTTATTGGCCTTCTTGACCTTCCGTTATAGTAGAACCCATTTTTGATGCATGCGTATGTATGGTAGGGCCACCTCACACTTTGAGATTGTCAAAACATATTGAAAACCAATTCACTCCCGGATAATAGTCGTATACAGCATATTCTACGCTTCGCTAACCTTCCTCGGATCCCAGCAGGCCTCTTTTCTAACCAGAAGTAGTCTCAATCCATTAGGGATTCTATACTTGGCGCTTTCCAGTCACCATGTTCGAGTAATCTTTGAGTAATCCTTTACCCCCGGAGGTGGTGTAGTGGCAAGGGACACACTGGCGAGGTGGTTTAGTGGCAAGAGACGCACTATCATATACCCGTGGTCACGGGTTCGAATCCCGGATCACAACATCCGCTTAGGCCAACCAAGCTTTCCATCCCTCCGGGGCAGGCTAATTGGTACCAGACTCCTCTGTGAAGAGAAAGCCTTGGCTTGCTCATCGGCTGGCACGGCCAGTCATTGTATAGGACATATTCGCATTCAATACTCCACTACTATTTTAAATGGAAGTCGATTGCGGGGCGCACCCCTCACACGGGATTATTAAACGCAAAAGACTTCATCCTCAATCATTCATTATATAATCACAGGTAAATTCACAATCCACCAAGCTCATAGCTTTTTGAAAGGCTGTTTCGCAACCTGAATACCATAAATCAAAGGTGAACTTCGTTCATCCTGGATGAAAACATTCCGAATTTTTTTCAGATCGTTTTGAACTGGCTATGATCGGTCTCTTGAATTCCACGGAAGTCTTTGTGACACTTTCGGTGTCATTAATCACACAGCATGCACTATTCAGAATGCACCACGATGCACTATCGCTCTTTTGTATAGCTGACGAAATCAGATAAAATGAAAATAAAATCGAATTCAGCCAAACAACGACAACAACAACAAGTGGAAAACAGATGGCAAGGTTTTGATCGGTAGTGATAGGCACGATGGATCAGAACTCTGCGTATGCCTGATTACCACTCAGATTTTAACATTTCTTAATGATTTTCTTAAATGACACTATACTGGTGAGGAGAGGTGGTGCAGTTCCAGACGGCGCACTATCACTCACATGGCACAGGGATCGAGTTTCGATTTGATGCTTGCCTGATCCAACCAATTCTTATAGCCCTCCAGGGTCGATTAATCGATACCAGCCTAGTTTTATACCTATTTACTTACTTACTTACTCACTTATACGGCTCGTCTTCATTCACGTTGCGAGCACCAGCGACAAACCAATAACTTCTGCCTTTTGCAATCGCCAACTGTGGTAGACTCGCAATCCGACGAAGATGGCGATGTGAGGAATCGTTCATTCTCATTCGCTACTGTTTTACGCGATCTACGAGCACATCCCTTATTTCGCAGCGAGCCAGCCTACCCATAGATCGTGAAGATCCTACCAGACTTGTCTAGTCTGGAAGGATAAAAGCAGTATTTCGTACATCTTGTGGCTACAGAAAGCCATTATACGGGCTTCATACACAATCAAAGCCCCACACAATTCTGAGTGGATGCAAGGGAACGTACCAAAAAGGGATTTGGTCAATGCCAAAAGGCTTCTGACTTGTACCTTACTTGTCCTATCATTTTTCAAATTTGCTTTCTTACACTGTGCCAACTTTCACTACAGCTGGTACAACGTATTAAGGTCCTAACATGACCGAACTTATGGTCTATCAGCGGACGCGCCATATCACAGGCAGAGCTGGCAGGATCGTTGTTCAGAATGTGGACTTATTGCGGACCCTGACCACAGAGGGGATTTAAACCACCGTGAACATGCTGCCACAATCATAATGGAACACCATATAGCACACTACGAAGTCAATGGCAGAACTCTATCAAGCAGGTTGGCGGTCCCGGATGGCGGGTATTTGTAGAGAGTGTGAAACAGCCAAAACAAAGAAAAAATAATGAAAAGGAAAAAACTCATCCGAATAGCCTCTAGGCAAAATAAGCACATATTCCGCACCCTCTTGCCTTCTTGAGTGAAAGACGACTGCGTGGCGCATTCTTAAAAAAAATCGATCAAGGTGGTGTCTGAATAGCATCTTCAACAAATGTGCCCGACACATCTGAAATTTTGTTGAAGTTGTTCTTCCCATTACGCAGAAAGGACTTTCATAGGACCCATCTCTATTTATAATACAGACGATTTCGCTTCACAAGATACGCCACGCTTCAGTTCTACAATCAGTACTGCTTACCTATTTGAATGGTTGATCGGGGTAGACAATAATTTACAAGTACAATTTCAATTGCGAATTACTTTTGGAAAATTATCAGATGCGATTAACCGAGGAGAGATCTAACTCAGCTCCTTCTACCACTACCAACAGAATTTGTTCAGTGTAGGCTTCTCAGAATTTGTTCAGTGTAGGCTTCTTTACAAGAATACCCTACTGCTCCCAGGCCTGACAGTCTCTTAGTGGGCCAAGAGTCCAACCAAAAAAACTTTATTATGTCGGAATTGAAAGCAGAAAATATTCAAAAAATATTACCTACAAAAACGTTCAGTACAATAGATTCTAGGAAGCTACCATTTCGCATTTACACATGGGGTCATCACCATAAATTTCGCAAAGTAAGTCAATTTCAACTGAGAAGACGAGATGAACACAACATTAATGTTTGATTGCAAGAGAAACATTCAATCGATTATCGATCGTTTCACAAATCGATGGATGTATTTAATATTCATGTACAGTATTTCGATCAAAAGTATGGTTTTTCGTTGACGAAGACATATATAATTGAAAGCACATGTCTCGGATTTCACATAATTGGCTATGACCGAATGGAAGGGCTGGAGAGACTGCACGAGCAGCGCTCACGATCCTCGACGACTGGTGGAGGACATGTGAGAATTCCCAGACAAAGGGGTCTCGCCTAGACTAAGCGGAGACGTTTTCGATTACGAGGTGGGCCATCAGGGTCACCTCTTCTCGGGCAGTTGCAGTACTGAAAAGTCACAATCTCAACACAGTAGATTTACTAGATTAAGTCATATTACCGTAGCGTCTTTTCCTGGATTTCCAGGCGGGCCCATAGGACCTGGTTCGCCGTCTGGGCCTGCAGCTCCTTGATATCCTTGGACACCTGGAACAAACAATTCAACATTACTTCCTCGCTAATATCTAAGATCTATACATGAAGTTACGCACCATCCATACCCGGCGGACCCATTGGACCTATGTGCATGTTACGTCCGGGGTAACCTGGAGGACCTTGCTCGCCAGGTTCACCTGGAGGGCCACGCGGTCCCTGCAATGTCTTTCTATCACAAAGGATAAATTCTTGCAGGGTTTAAAAAACTTACCTTTCTGCTCATGGGTTGCTCTGCATCTTCTCCTTTTGGCCCAGGCGGTCCAGGTGGTCCATCAGGTCCGGGTGATCCAGGTGGACCCTGTTCTCCAGGCATTCCTGGCGTACCATCTCGACCAGGTACCCCAGGTATTCCTCTAGCACCACGCATACCGCGCACTCCCGGCGGTCCAGTTTTACCTTGGGGACCTGGATGCCCTGAAACACCTCTGTAGTTGTGTTAGAAAACATAGATTGATTGAGAAGGCTCTTCCTTTCGTCGGCTCTCACTACTGGAAACAAGACTTGAACAAACTGTCCCTGCCCTCGTTGAAAAGTGTTCCTGAATCATCCATATCTTACAACTGCCGAGGGAGGTGAGACGGGGTTGAAGAAAAGGATACTATCCTTTTCCAAAGTTGTTTATACTGTCGAAATATATGGAGTAACCCCGGAAACAGCTTGCCAAGCGACAGACAGATCGAGTAGATCAACGAACGCACAGTCAATCTATTCAAAAGCCAGGTACGTGATGAAATGTTAGAGGCACAGCTTACTTCAGGGCACAGTTTACGATAACAATGATTTCTGAGATTTCCCGATAGTATGAACTCGAGCCTCCCCCTTACACCGTACCTGTCGTTATAAGGGCGAAAAGCGTCCTGCATAGGGCACAATAAGGAACCACAGATTGTATCGTGTGAATGCCACACCCCTAGTGGACGAGTTTCAACGGCTTTGTAGAGGCTGCACCATTTATAAGGGAACCAATGTAGGAAGTTCAAACAACTTGCCATGACTCATAGCGACAGCGGAAGGTAATTCTGGCCAGTTATGGTTTGATGTAGTGAGCTCTTTGCACGATGGGAGCAAGTTAAACCTCGTCCAAAAACACCTTACATGTCACTCCTGTCGCGATGTTCTCGTACAACCTCCACTTCCAATTCTTTCAAGAAGCTTGAAGTAGGCGGGTTTTCTCGCTATTTCCTCCTCGCTCGCTCTCTTTCTCGGTCCTCCGCAACCGATGCACTCCTCTACATCAACACTTCCGCTTTTCAACCTCGAAAGAACCTCGAAAATATCGTGATTTGTGCCTTTAAGGATGGTTCGTGAAATGATTTCAATTGGTAGAAGATTCTTACTCTCTGAGACCCTTTATCAGCTCTTATGAGTGGTTGTCAGTTTCTGTCACCAAGAACCTACGATCTCTTCACATCCGACACCATCTACTAAAGTGCTACAAGGTTACGCTGTCACCACGAAGGACGTGATAGCCCTAGGAACTCTCGCCATCGTCGTTATCAGTCAGTATCAGTTGTTAGCACGAACATTTACGGTCCCTTCACATCCCACTGAAGTGCCAAGGCTCCAGTGCTAACACGACGTGAATGAATAACGGATTGTGCGGGTCCTGCCCTCTCAGCTCCTATCCATTGTCATCACTAACTATTACCTGCCACTAGCGCTCCCATCCTGTCCCCGTGCCGAATTCAAAACTCTATGTTCAGAGGGGCAGAACTCATAAATTTCCGGTCTCACACATACACGCACATACACATACAAACACACATACACACAAACAAACCAACAGACACGACTTTCTAGAAGGTACAGGACATGGTGAGCTTACCTGCCGGGCACGTTATACATCCAACAAGTTCACTATATTTCATCGCATCCATATTATCCAAGCCATCAACGCCGTCAACACCGTCCAATCCGTCGGGTCCATCGGGCCCTATGATCGAAGTGTAGTAGAAGGAAACAATGTGGAGGAATTCATAACCAGAGCATTTCTTATACTTCAGTACGTGATGTCTGGCTGTATTCGCTAACACAAGATGGTTTTGAATTCAAATAGAACCTGGCTCTCCTGGTGGTCCAGGTGGTCCTGGAGGACAGGTGCTGTATATCAAGCAATGGCATCCAGCCATTCCCATGAACTGCGGTTCGGCTAATTTCATGATACGAGGGAGCATCTCTAAATAGTAAGTTCTCTTTGGAGAGGAATTTACCTGAAGAGTTCCGAGTGAGCCTACCAGCATCTTCTTCACTACTCTGTGTATTGACTCCAACGGCAGCATAACCACCATATTGAGATTGCCGTCGAATCCGATTGGACGGAGTGCCGACACCGAGAGTGACCATGGCCTTCCACGAATCATTGGTAAGATACTGTAAACGATAGTTTCAGAGTATAAATCACACAAACAACCATGATTTGGCAACTCAGATTCCTTTTACAGCCTGACCTTGAACTGATCTATTTCTGCATCCAATTCGGACCACATGGATGAGATTTCGAGCTGCATCCAATATATAGCCAACAACGACAATAGAAGGGTGACGCCTGAGGCGGCTATGGCGCCGCAGGTCGCCAGTTCGATACCCATCTGCTGCAAAGTGTAGTTTTTCCGATAAAGTTTAGCGGGAAGTACTAGGACAATGAGAGATCGAGGACGAGCTTCATACATAAGAAGTAATGAGGCACAATAACGGCGTAATCGCATCCTGCTCCGCTTGGACATGAAAAATAGCTATCCTGGAAGGGTTCACGGGTCCAATATCGGAGAGTGGGGGACCGCTTTCAGATGGCCAATCACCACTGCTTGTCCTTTCCCTCTAAGAGAACTATGAGTTATCTACTCAAGCCCCTGTAAGGGAGCTGGGTTCCTATTGTGTCCAGTAAAGTAGTTAAAAGGGCTAAAAGGGTTGTCCCGGGCATAAATAGGGCGCAATTTGATCCTAACTAGGTTATTCTTGCATTTTGACTCTGTTGATGATACCATCCTCAGATTCAAGTCGAATGAATAATAAATAAAAGCTAAGGTAAATAAAACTGAAGTTTCATTTACATTATCCCGACTTGATTTTAGCGATCAATCATACTGTACCAAAGGAAATCAAAAGAGTTGTCACGAAGGAAGGGTTGGAAATACCATCAGGGAACGTTATGGTAACGAAAACATTTGATTGCAATTAGGTCCTCGTTAGATTAGGAACGGGAAAGGCGAAACACAAGAAGTTCTTAACAGTGCAGAGTGATTTATTTGAATCCGGCTGTTGTCTTTGGTAAAAAGGACGACGCCATGTTGCGTACCTTTTTTCAGTATGACACACCACCCTTCATTTAGGCAAAGCCCTGATAAATGACCTCGTCTCCCCTTTTTCAGGTGTGTCAGAAGAACACAACGCAGCAATAACCTCGACAGAAATCTCCAAACTTTGCCCGCAGATACGATTCCGCCCAAGAATTGAACTATTTCAAACACTCCTAGGTGGACTAAAACTTAAGGACCTGACTTGAATTTGGTTTGGATCCTATCCTTGGGCGTTACTACAGGGCTTCAGTATTTTGAGCTGAGTATGTTTCAGGTCTCTTATACCGTCGTCCGAGAAGAAGAGGACGTGCTTAACTGTTAAAACGATTCTAAATGGAGAGTGGATGCATGGCGCATCCCAAACATCTACGATATGTTACTATATGAATATGAAACTATTATACTATTACTTTCTATATGAGCATAATATATGGATGTAAAGTACATAAAGAACAGGAAAATGATCTCCGGGAAAAGGAGTGGAAGAAAAAAACCTCGAAGACACCTCGAAAAAAGGTTTTGAACTCGCCTGTGGGAGTGCCGAGAGGTACAGCGTAAACGAACAATCAAGGCTGATCTTCACTTCAATATATAATTATAAAGGCAATTTTTAAAAGTTCGAGGGTTTTTTGAAAATCCAGAGAGCTTTCGACTGTGAAGGGTCTTTATCCGAATCAGGTCAGGTCAGGTCACTAGGGGTAATTGAGTGGTGAAAAAAATCGCGACCTAGACGACAAATTTCACGCAATAAAACAACCCTCTCAGTGTCCGATTCAATTACTATCCAAGAATGATAAATCTTCTAAGGTATACTCCGATGAAGGGGAGAAAAATTTTGGAAAAAAAAATTGTAAAAAGTCAACGTCAATACAATACGTAACACTATAGCGCAACACAATGGGTTGTTCACTCTTACTATGGTTGAGCTTTTTGTACTGCGAGGCAATAAACAAAGAATTAGGTTAACAACAGCGGAATGACTTTCTAAAGATAAGGAAAAGACCAGTAGGAAGATGAAGGGCACCGCTGGTTCTTTCAACACCGAAGCAAAGTTCCAAATTGAGTTCGAAGACCTACAAAGCTTTGAGTCAGTTAAGGATCATTATTCAACCCTTGTCTAGCAATGCACTTGCTTGAGAGTAACGACATTCATGTATACTACCGCCGACTCATACAAGTCCATAGATTAAACCTTGTCAAAAAATCTACAATAAGGAATGAATGTCAAGTGCATGGCCTATTTCGAAAA